ACCTGGATCTGCCAATAAATGCTATGGCCTTTCATTTTGAGAAATTTTAGAGAAATAAGATAAATTAATGCACTGATCTTGTATTTCATGTGTTTTTTAACTAAATGCAAAACATATACATGCGCCCAACTTGATGAATTGATCTATTACCGCCATATCGACAAAATTTTCAAAAAAAGCACTAACTTTTAACTTTACAGCTTGATGGATGAGCTCTTTGGCGTTTGCTTCCGTACGATATCGTCGTGGTAGCGCTACACGAAAATACTTCAAAGCACCCTCAAAATCCAACTGCAATAGCTCCTTCTTGGAGGCTTTGAGGAGCGCCAACGAGATGTGGAAAATCGTGTTCATCCCCTAAAAACAATCCATACAGTTCGACCAACAGCAACATTAAAGAGTACTGGACCGCATAAACATTATACCCAGAGATTCAAAAACCGCAAGCGCATTGCAAATTTCGAGAGTGACGGCAACACTTACAAGTTCGAAAGAGCAATTCAGATTTCACAGCCTACATCCACAAATGATTTAGCAGAGAGTCAGCGAATCCTAGAAGCAACGAGAGGGGTGGAAAACCCAAACTTTCCCTCCTGCTTCTTTCTATCGTCTTTCTTTTTTCTTTTCCTTTTCCATTAAGCACTGCGACCGTCATACTGACGAGGTCCTGTTGCGGTGTGGAGTTAAGGCGTATAGGACTTAATGGACCGAAATGTCTTATCTCACTCCTAACTTCTTACCTCAAATTGTTCTCTCATGACTACAGTCTATCACGCCTTCGCTAATCAGGCTTCCAGGGTACTGGACAAATGGCGAAATGAAGTTTTCACAATTTTGCCGAAACCCCAATTTTTGACTTATCTTCATCGTTTAAGTTCAAAAGCAGTCACACACACACACAACGTGCGGGCATGCATGCAAGAACATGGATTTGAAGGAAAATATATTAAAAGTAAGACTTGTTACTCTCCTCTTCCTTAGATACTTGAAACGAAAAATTTCGTGAGCAATAAATGCACCAAAAAAGCACAAAGCACAAACCTCACTGAGGAAAAGATCGACGATGAAATAAACCATTTGTAGTGGGAATTTAGC